TTTTTCAAAAAAAAATAATCTTATTGCTGCAACACCTTCCTTATGTGCTTCTGGAATTCACAAAAGTCAGTTCCCAAGCTCCAAAAGAAAATCATTCTAATTATTTTGTAGCTGTTTTCCATTGTGGTATTTTGCACATGTTGCTTTTAAATAAAAATAATTGTATTCAGGTGGGTCACACACCTGAACACTCTATGCATAACTGAGTGACTGGTTTCCACAACTTCAAATCCACCCTCAATACAAAGGCCTCGCATAGATCAGAACGATGCAAAGAATGTGCGATCCGTGGTGCCAGAAGAGGAGTCCCTTTGAAAGGGACCTGCTTGCACAGAAATGTGAGCTCAGATGTCTGTTTAGGGGAACGACAGCCCACTGCAGCAGAGAGCCCAGGTGTCAGCGGAAGCAGGTCAGCGACAGGGCTAGGAAAGCAAATGTACCCTCTCCTCCTCTTTCTAAATCACGACGTCCTCATACTGCCAACTCCCACATTGAGAGCCGACTATCTGTAGGAAGAGGATTTAATAAAAGCTAGTCATCTGTGCCAAATGTCCAACACCGAAGATTCATTTCTCTGAACCTTTCAAAGGAAGCTATTTGGAAAACTAAACCCTCCTCATCCATGCTCCCTGCAGAGCCGTGAACTTCATCTACACAGTGATAAATTTAAGTGGACTTCTGGTCCAAGTTTTGCATCTGCACAGAATGTAATACCAAGGAGGAAAACAATCTATGTGAGGGAAAGAATAAGATCTCAAGTGCCAGGCACTGGAACGACAGCACCTTCCCATGAAAATGATGCTGGTAACTGTGATGGCCAAGTTACATTTTTTTTCTTGAAGATATTTAAAAACTATTCTTCCAAACCATGCAAGTTACAGGAAAACATCGGTTGTATATTATAATCTACCAATTCAGGTGATTTTATTGTTTTCTGTTTTCAGGGGAATTTCAAAAATCGGTAAACTACACTCTTAACTCCTGGCCATCCTCCTTGTATGTTGAAACAATGATTGTTAATGTTCTTATAAAAATATGAATGAAGTTTGATCGGATAATTCAGAAAATTTTCTTACATTACACCTATATATCATTAGGTTGATACAAAAGAAACAGAATATCAAGACCAATAAAGTACAAACAGAGTGGCTATAACTGAGGATTAATTTTTACTTGAGCTTCCTGGAAGCGTAAAAAAAAAAGAGAGAGAGAAACATGTAAGTTACATAATTTTGCTGGTAAGAAAAATACCAGTTCTCCAGGGTAAACAAAGTTTTCTTGGCACCATATTCTGATTGCACGAACCCTATACGGAGAACAGTGAGCCAGCCAGGGAGCGACTTGTATCCTACCACAAATGCAGACACAGTTTCTATGTGGCAAAGCCCGAAATTAAACTTTCTCGAAGCCCAAGGTTACGACATAAAAACGCAGCCTCCTTAGGGTTCTCCGACGAGCCGGCCCGAAGCCTTCCTGCTTGCACGGCGCACAGGCCGGCTCTGTCCACCTGCTCTCAGAGGTGCCCCTTCCCTGTGAGCCAGGGGTGGACAGGCCCAGGCTGCGCGGTGGCCGGGGATGAAGGCGAGCAGGGACGGGAGCCAACGTTTACCGAGAACATCTGGTACTGTGCCACCTCCTCTGCCCATTCCGCCTCATTTAATCACATAACTAACCTATAAAGAAGGTGCGGCAACCCTGGCTGGTTTGGCTCAGCGGTTAGAGCCTCGGCCTGTGGACCAAAGAGTCGCAGGTTCGATTCCGGCCAAGGGCACGTACCTCAGTTGCGGTTCATCCCTGGCCTTGGTAGGGGTAGTGCAGGGGTCAACCAGTTGATGTGTCATTCTCACGTCGATGTCTCTCTCTCTCCCCCTTTCTTTCCTGTTCTTTTCCTCCCACTTTATCTGAAGATAAATAGAAAAATATCCTCGGGTAAGGACTAAAAAAAGGTGTGGCTAACCCCATTTTATAAAAGAGGGAGCTGAGATTCAGAGAAGGTGAGTTGGCCAAGATCACATAACTGGTATGCCGTGGAGGCAGGATTCGGATCCAATCACTTCTGAATCCAAAGCCCTTTCACTGGGCTCTTCTGTCGTCTGTAAGTGTCCATGTGATGTCTCGAGCCACGTTGCACACAAGACACAGAGGAATGACAAGTTTGCTCTATTGTCCTCAAGACGCTTATACTCCTCCAGCTGCAATGCAAGACTAGACCAGCATATAAGGCAGTGTGCTCTATGTATAAATGGTATAACAAACGAAATAATGTAACATTAATGAGAGCTACATTTCTGGAGGGGGGTAGTGCAGGCTTCCACCGAAGTACAAGATGCTGATTTCAACACGTTGGATGAAAAATCTTAACTATGTCATGTATATGATCAATGGGTCTCCCTGCCAAAACACTGATAGACATCACAGCGAGTATGCTTAAAACTACGGTTATGCCCTGGCCGGTTTGGCTCAGCAGTTGGAGCATTGGCCTGGGGTCCAGAGACCTGGGTTCGGTTCCCGCTGAGGGCACGTACCTTGGTTGCAGTTTGTCCCCGGCCCTGGTTGGTCGTGCGGGTGGCAGCCACCCAATGTGTCCCTTTCACGTCAATGTTTCTCTCTCTCTCTCTCTCTCTCTCTCTCTCCCCCTTTTCCTCTCTCTCCCTCCCACTCTGTCTGAACAACATATGGAAAAAATGTCCTCGGGTGAGGATTAAAACAACAGCAACAACAACAACAAAAACTACAGTTATGCTGTAGAAGACAACATTCTCAGAAAAAAATACAATATTGCCAGAAACTGATCAAACTTAAAAAAAAATACACTATACATGTCGTTACTTTATATCCATTCTGCTTCAAAAGTAGAAGTGCACAGTTGAACACTGTACGCACAGTATTATAGATGAGGGAGTGCTCTCGAGATACAAGCAGCACACGAGCAACCCCACTCCCGTGGAGTGACTGCCACGTGATGCTCCTGGAACCGGCGCTCCGCCCATCTGTCTCGCACTGACCCCTCCACGGAGCTAAATGTCAGGCTTGCTGTGTAGGCTACGCTGGTGGAGGTCTACAGTGCATGTCCAAACTCTCTGACTGTCTCTGGTCGTTTCTGAATGGGTCAAGAGTTCCAGGACGACCGCACTGAGACCAGAATCAAGAAAGTCAAGAGAGGCAGGGTGACACCCTTGTCATTTCATCTGGGGACAGCAAAAATAATAATAACAAAGCTTATCCCCCCCCATCCTTCCCCTGCACCCCATCTCTGAAACTCTCTGGAAAAGGCAGGTTCTTAGGGAACAGAACTCACAGTTACCCCTGAATTGATATCTCCTTGTACATTCCAAATACTGAAAATCATCTGATGACAACCAGGCCGCTGTCATGGTAGGTGCGTTTCTCAGGGGCTCCCAGCCCAGGTAGAAAGCAGAGGATGAAATCCAGAGGCCCTCCACCTGTCACACCCCCCACAACTGCTCGGGGCTTCATCCACCCTCCAGCCCCGAGGAAAGGGCGTCATTTTTTTTTAATTCACCTATGTTGCCCCAGGGAGTATACCCTCAGACTGCTTCTGCCCATGGGGCCACTTTCTAACAAAGACACTCCCCTTGATTAGCAGCAGCTCTGATGGGCACCATATGAAGCGGCTTCCAAGTCCCTTCATCTTTCCAAGAAGGGAAAAAAGCCCCATGTCCTTCTTTTTTTTTTTTTTTTTATCCTCACCCGAGGACATTTTTCCATTTTTTGTACAGACAGAGTGGGAGGGAGAGAGAGGAAGAGAGAGAGAGGGAAACATCGATGTGAAAGGGACACATCGAATGGCTGCCACCCACACGACCAACCAGGGCCGGGGACAAACTGCAACCGAGGTACATGCCCTTAGCGGGAACCGAACCCGGGTCTCTCCGGACCGCAGGCAGATGCTCTAACCGCTGAGCCAAACTGGCCAGGGCCCCATGTCCCTCTTGAACATCATCCCAGACTCACTGCAGTATGGCAGCCCTTTTTCCCCAGGTGCCATCAAGAATATCTGCTCGCTCGCTCGCTCGCTCTTTGGCACAGAAAACAAACACTCTCCACTCTGTGTGCACCAGGCTTACTTCTTTCCGTGGCCTCGATTATTTCCAGGTAGTGAAGTGGGGCATTCTGAGTGGCTTGTCGGGCTCTTGAGCCCCAGGGGGTCACTCAGTGCTGGGAAGGAGCAAGACACTAAATACGTCTCTGGAATATTTTAGTCACTTCAAGAAAGGTTAAGGTTCCAGGGAGTGTCTTCCAGCAGCTTTCAAATCGGCCCCACACTGAGCCTCTCATCTGGCCGGTGTCCCCAAGTCATTAGCAGTGACTAATTATGGTTCCCCGTCATCGTCCGGAGAAAACAGGACCAACTGACTGAGTACCATGACATGCACCGTCTTTTTATAACTTAAACATTCTGTAAACCAACAACCACATCTGTAAATGTCACTTCTACCCATAAAGGATGGAAAACACACACAGGACAGTGAAACTCCTAAGTATTCCTTGGCTATCCAGTGCCTGCTTGGACTGTTACCTGCTTTCGTATTTCACATGAATGCTTGACTATCATTTCCCCTCCCTCGGGCAGCCAAGGTTCACTTTCATCGTTTCAACCTATACTCAGCGTCACTTAAACTACAGTGAATTCGTATCTGCTTGTTCATCATTTGCATGAATTTCTCAGCCAGCCTAAATCATGCCCATAACAGTTTTCAAAGCCCTGGGTTTCAGCTTTCTTCGCTGCCTTTTCTTTTTCGCATCTTTCCCTTTTCTTCTTTAAGAGTAGTTATGGGGAAGAAATGTGCTCAAGACAGTTCTAATTTTTCACTCACTTGGCTTACTAAATAGGTCAGTCCTCCCTAGAAGATTTAGAGATCACATAACTATACACTGACAGCAGAACAGGCTCATTCATAGGAGTACTGTGTCTCGTCTACAGGAGTGATGTGGACACAACGCATTTGCATTTAGCGTGAATCTTGCCATCCACTCACCTGAATTCTCTCTGTCGTATTTTCCTTTACGTGCATGTTCATGCTGATGGGTCGCCTACTTCATGTCAAGAACCTGTTATTCACAATAGAACTGAGAGATGGCAAGGTACAAAGGGTAATGAACTTAAAAATCAAGAAGCCTCGCTCTGCTCTTTGCTGTATCTCATTAATCAGCCGATCCTGGCAAATTCACCATTTAAGTGCAGCTTTGATTCCATATTATTTGAGTACCTTCTGTGTGTCAGGCCTGGTGTAAGGTGATGGAAATAAAATAAAAATAAAATAAAATAAAATAAAGAAGAATACAATTTTGTATTTTGTTCCTTCAAGAAGACATCAGAGCCCTGCCTGATTTAGCTCAGCGGTTAGAGCGTTGGCCCGTGGACCAGAGAGTCCGGGGCTCGGTTCCCGCTAAGGGCATGTACCTAGATTGCAGTTTGTCCCCGGCCCTGGTTGGGGTCGTGTGGGTGGCAGCCACTCGATGTGTCTCTCTCACACTGATGTTTCTCTCTCTTTCTCCCTCTCTCCCTCCCGCTCTATCTGAAGATAAATGCAAAAATGTCCTCGGGTGAGGATAAAAAAAAAGACATCAGAGTTCTAGCCGGTTTGGCTCAGTGGTTAGAACATTGGCCTGCGGACCAAAGAGTCACGGGTTCGATTCTGGCCCAGGGCACATACCTCAGTTGTGGTCATTCCCCAGCCCTGGTGGGGTCGTGTGGGAGGCAACCAATTGATGTCTCTCTCTCTCTCTCCCCTCCCCCTCACTTCCTTTCACTCTATCTAAAGATAAATGGAAAAAATATCCTCAGGTGAGGATTCAAAAGAAAAAGAAGACATCAGAGTCTGGAAAGAAAAATTGCAAATGAAGAGAAGCAAAATGTTTTACAATAGCCAGTCCCTGGAGAGGATAAACCGGTGCCCGGAGAGTCTCTCTCCCCGATCATGCGGGAGGGTCTCCTCTGGGCCCAGACCAGGCCATTGCTCCGGAAGATGGGGAGAGCGTGGGCAGCAGTGACACAGGCGAGGCCGGACGCTTCAAACCGTAGACACTCAGAGGGGGACTCTTGGAGACTGTCACCGTTTGTCTCGGGAAGGCCACACAGGCAGAATCCAAGCACAGTGCTCATCCTGGCTCCCAAGTGGCCTTTATTTCTAAGAGGCGCCAGCCTCTCATTAGAAGAAAATATATTCCCTGGCTCTTCCCGATGCCACGGCCATCCCAGACTGTGGATGCGTCCATTCTCCCTTGGGAACACGGAGCCTGGGTGCATTCCTATCTATTCTAAGGGTCCACGACCTGCTGTCTAAAACCTGCGAGGCCTGATATGTTTGGGATTCAGAATTCGGGGCTTCGGAAATGGAATATGGACACGTGCTCATATCCTGTGATGCCCAAGCAAGGTCTGAGGCAGCCCCCGCAGTTGAAGACAGGACTATTTCTGCAGAGAGATGGACAAATATTCACTCTAGAAGGAGTACAGGTTAGATTTGGAATGAATTAGGTAAAGCAAGGTTTTTTCCTCAAAATGGGTTACGGAGAAAGTCTCGGTTTGCAGAGGTGCTGAGTTTTCAGGATGAAGTACAAAGCACACATTCACACCTCCCTACAAAATGAAGTGGAGGCACACCTTACGTGGGGAATAAAGTAAAAATGGCAAATTATCAGAGTTAACTTTGAAAACCCTTGAGGGACGGAGCCCTCCTAATGCTGCCAGCCTGAGACGAGATCTGCGCCTGCTCAGCTGAGCTCCAGGAGAAGGAACTGGGTTATATTTAGTGGTCACATCTTTGAACAGTAGAATTATCCCAGCCACTCACAATACATGGAGATGATCCATTTGTGAGAAGTACAAAGCCCATGAGACCATGCACAGTGCTCATCCTGGCTCCCAGTAGAACTGGATCTCTTGTCGTATGTTCATTCTGGTTGCATATATTTTTTATTGGTTGACAGAAATGCCCTCTTATTGCAAAACAACAACAATGACAAAACCTTGTGCATACGCACACGCACGCATGTGTGTGTGTGTGTGTGTGTGTGTAGGGCAGTGACTATAATTGAAAATATATGTTAAATGCCCTTTGGATTTAGCATCACTGTGAGCATTTATTATATTTATTTGTTTACTTATTTTGAATTTTTTTTCTCTTGATAGACTTTAAATTCAATGAATGTATGCTATCTGGTTCACCTTTGCATCTCCAGAGCCAAGTATCATGCCTGGTTTCAATAAATATTTATATATCAAGAGGCAATATTGCAATGTTTAAGAGCACAGACTCTCGCTTGGCAGCCAAGATGTGAATCTCTGCTCTGCCTTGAAACTATTAGCTGTGAGACCATGGGCAGCCTCTTTTGTGCCTTAGTGTCCTCATCTGAAAAATGGGGATACTTGCTGTATCAATGTAGATGGACTAAGAATACTCCAACAGCAAACCCCCAAATCCCAGTGGCTTAAGCTACAAAGGTTTTTTTTTTCTTGTCATATTACATGTTCATCATAGGTTGGTCACGACTCTGTGTAATCCTTGTCCTCACTCCATGACCTAAACTGCCTGAGCAGGGATTACCTGGCATAGTGCCAGTTGCCCTAGTGGGATGAAAAGAACATCCTCCAGGCTCAAACATTGGTAATTAAATGCTTGACCCAAAAGTGACATAGGTCATTTCAGCTTACACATTGTGCAGAACTAGCCAGAGGGGTCCAGGGAACACAACACTGCCCTGTGCCCAGGAGCTAGAGAGGCAGAAACTGTCTTAGGGTTATCACGTCAATTAAAGGGCTTTCTGTCCATAAAGCATTTGGAAAAGCATCTAGTACCTTGCTACATCCTATGTAAGTGTTTTCTGCTGCCATTATTATTATTATTGAATTCATATTTTTGGAGGTCATTACAGTCACCTTTTAGGCTTTTCCTGATTAAATTGAATTTGCCTGACGGTGGTTGTCCACTGCTCTCCTTTAGGCGTCAGTGGGTGCCAAAGTCCCATCGTGCAGACCCCTACCTACCTTCAGTACGAATAGAGAGCAGCCCACAGGAACCCCCTTCCATCACCTGTCTGGAGATGATTTTGCAGCTCAGATGGATGCAGAAAGGCAAACCCAGGCAAACATGTTAAAGGGAAATGAACCCTAGTAACTTTAGGTGTTGCAAGCTGTGAACATCCTGGTTCTAAATGTGTTTCATACAAAAATATTTACGCTTCAAGCTGCGGCATCCGAACAGCAATCTGTATTTGTTGGTTTCAGATGCCAATTTCCTCCAGCTCTTTGTGTGATGTAAACACATCTCAACCATCCAGACCACAGCAAGCCACAATGAAGCATGTGCTCACTCCTGGCAAAAGCATCAAATCAAAATACAATCTCACAGAAAAGGAGTGAACATCCCAGGCCTCCCAAAGCTGTATTAAAAATGTTCTTTAGGTGTCAGAACTTAGACTTTAAATAGGATAGCAAAAGTGAGCATATCAGAATATGTCATGTTGATAAGCAGAAACAAACGTAACCAGAAGATTATATCCTGTGGTCTTACCTATGTTAAGAGCAGTCCAAAGTGGTACCTTCCAAATTACCTCCAAAAGAAAAAGGGCTTAGGAACCGTGTCTCAGACAGATGGGAAAATAGAAAAGAGATTGCTGCAAGACTCATTCACGAGAGTCAAAAGCAAACCTTTCATTTCTATCCTGCTAAGGAAGTTAAAATTCATGCTTTATAAGAATTGCAAGAAAGAAGCTAAACTCTAGCCCATCAATATCAAGAAACAATGAATTGAAAGTAGGTTGTTACCACCTACCCACCTGGGCCTCTGAAATGAATACTAGGCATCATTTCTGCTGCCTTGACTCCCTGATACAGTTCTAGGCTGTTGCAGGCATCTTCTCAAAGCCAAATATTTTAGACAATCGCTATGGCCAGCCTTGCCCCAGGCAAATACAAGTGTTAAAAAGACTTCTTGCTCCCCCCCCCCCCACCTAAAAATATCTCCCCACCAATTTAGCACACTGCCCAAAATGTCCACCCTTTGGGAAAGATAACTATCATCAGACTTTGTGGCTCAGATTCATGAATTTGAATGTTGTGGGAAGAAGATCCTGAGAGGGGTGTATAAGACGAGTTTTATTAAGATAGTGGAAAAAAAAAAACCCAGCCAGTGTGGCTCAGTGGTTGAGTGTTGACCAGTGCACCAAGAGGTCGCCGGTTTGATTCCCAGTCAGGACACATGCCCAGGTTGTGGGCCAGATCCCCAGTGGGGGGCATGCAGGAGGTGGCCAGTAGATGTTCTCTACCATTGGTGTTTCTATCTCCCTCTCTCTCAAATCAATAAAGAAAAAATAGTTAAGAATAAATATAAAGGTCTGGAACTTGAACAGAAACACGTGACAGTGAAAATGAGGAGCTGGAAGTCTTCCTAAACACTTTTCCCCTAGAACCCCGGAGATGATGCCTCCTGGCCATTGTCAGCTCATTGGGGATTTGATAACCTTGCTTTCTCACTCTTAAACAGTGTATAAATAATTAAATCAAACTATAATTGACATCAGATTGCTTGATATCCTAGAGAATCTCCATTTTCTGTCTGACTTAATAAGTTTAATTATGTAGACATTCACTGATTATGAAATTCACCTCCTTGGCTAAAAATGTGACCTAAATAATTTGAACGTGGTTCCATACATCTGGTTGATCTCACCTCAATATTTTATCAAGGTCATTATAAAACCAAATACTATCTGCCCAGATGCAATGTACCAACTTTGTATTCAAATTTAATGAGAATATTTTGTAATCCATCATTCGATTACAGATAAGAATAGAAGTTGGCAAAATAGAAGTGGGCTAACCTCCATGAACTCTCCCCAAGCCTCCGTCTTCCCACATAACCAATTCTGGTTCAGATGATCAGCTATTCTTTTTTATTTTTATTTTTCTTTATTGATTTTAGAGAGAAAGGAAGGGAGAGGGAGAGAGAGATTGATGAGAGAGAACATTGACTGGCCGCCTCCTACATGCCCCCCACTGGGGACTGACTCACAACCTGGGCGTGTGCCCTGACTGGGAATCGAACCGGTAATCTCTTGGGCATGGGTAGACACTCAACCACTGAGCCACACTGGCCAGGTTGATCAGCCATTCTTGTACAGCACTTCAGAATGAGATTATTTCCTTCCTAGGTTTTTGGTTTTAATCTACTGGGAAGTATTTAATCAGGAAAGGATCAAAATCCCCATTAAACTTCTAAGAAAAATCCCCTAATTGCTGATATTTAAATAAATAGATAATAAAATGAAAAAACATGGAACCTTGTTTCATTGTTAACGTCAGGTAGATTTCAGGAGAAATTATTTGCTCTGAGTAAATTATAATCTGTGTTATAACCTGGATATAATCCAAGAATAAAATTCTGTGTTTCTGTCAAAGAGGCTGTGTGCTATTTTCTGACTTCAAATAGTCCAGGGATCACAGCACTAGAGGTTCTAATCACATCTAAGTCCTTGGATTTTAAGCTATTTTTAGTCCATTTTTTCCAATTGTTCAACTCCAAAATAATATTATTACAAAATTATCTTTACATGGCTTGAAATAATTCCTAATCCTCTGAGCTCTCAGAATTGCTCACAAAACCAACAAAATCCATAAAAGAAAAGAAAAGAAAAAAATAAAACTACAACCAGTAATCGTTTTCAGACAACAGAGTGTGGACTTCAGCAATCAGTAAAAACAGTTTTTGAAACGGCAATCATAACTCCTACTCTTACATCTCACACAGAGCCATATACTTTAGTTTTAGGAAAAAAGGCCCTTCCCCCCAAATATGTTGGCCATGTTTCATAACATAGGATAATAGTGGATATTTACAATTCAAAAATCCATGTCCACAAGGAAAAGTTTGGTCTATTTAGACACCACACTTAAAAGGTCAGAAAATTTTGAAATGAAAGATCTCCAGACAAAATATTTACTCTGATGTCCAAGAATACTTATACTAAATCAAGTCTGTCTCTTCAAATGGGAAGCTTGATTTTCTCTGGAAAACGCTTGTGCACAGACAACCTCCTTCTCCAAACATTTCAAATCAAAGAGTTAACCACTCGCATTCAAATTCTTACATCACACACAAAACAATTCCACTGTAGTATCAGTGAGCAAGATTCAGGGGGACAAACAACTTACCTTTTTTATAACTGTTGTAGTACTTGGATGAACGCTATTTTTAGAATATTCATCAAACTTCAGGAGGACTAGGGATGAAACAGGGTTTGTGCTTTGTTGAGAAAGGCAAATTACGTTGTTGGCATATTCGGGGAAGATCATTTGTCTCCTAGCCCAAGGGATATGCCTGCAATCACTATGCCTAACACCACTGGTTTTGTGAGATAGACCTATGAGTCCCAGAGGACATTTCATTCATCACAGTCTTATCTACCACCTTGTCACCAGTACCTCCAAAGCCAGCCGATCATACAACAGGCTTTTCTCCTCCTGCTCTGCAAGCCAAGAATAGAGCCAGCTAAACGGTTTCAAACACTTCAAAACGTCAATCACAAGTGAGCCCTGGAAACATTTTGGGATCACGCCCACGTTTCAGGAGCAGAAAAGTCTTACCTTGCTCTCTTCTCCTTCAAACACTGACTGGTGAACGTTGCACGCGAACAAGGAGTTGGGGAGGTCGTTGAAGTCGGTGATCGCTTGAAAGGCTTCTTCCGAGAAGCACTGGGTCACAGCCCAGTCTCTGTCCACACAGCAGAGGAAGAAAAGTCCTCCGTCTTCCAGGATGTGCCCCTGCGGCCCCGGGCTCCTCATTCCAATGAAGTAAGATTCTCCCCTCATTCCTGAGGATGCAGAGATGGACACGTGTGAGAGCAGAACTCGACAATTCCTTAACACGTGGTGTTGAAGCCACTGCACGGGAGTGTCTGGGGCAGAGCAGGGGAGAATGGAAGGAAGAGAATCAGGAGCTATTGGAAGTATGAAGACCCAGCAAGTTCATATTGTCCCCTTGATCTCTGAGTCACAGTTTCTCATATAGCTCTGCTTCTGGGTAAGAGTCCAATTAGTGTTACGGGGCAAAAAACAAAAACAAAAACCCACTACACCAGGTTAAAAATTGGAGGCCAGGGACCCAAGCCTAGGTGCCCAGTGTTTACTAGACTTGAGACCTGCAAAAGATACGCCAAGTTCTCCGAGCCTCTGCTTCCTTACCAGAATCAAGTGGACTCAAACAGAAATGCACGTGGGAAAGTGATCTGATAAGTTACATGACAAATTATATACCACATCACCAATGCCTAGTCTTTATTGAGCTCCAGGACCTGTTCTAAATTATTTACATGCATTAACTAACCCTTTAATCTCCACAATAGTCTGTGAGATCGGTTCCACTATTACCTCCATTTTACAGTCAGGAAAACTTAGGAACAAAGCAAGTAAGAAATATTCATGAGGCCCGGCCGGTGTGGCTCAGTGGTTGAGCATCAACCCATGCACCAGGAGGTCACCAGTTCGATTTCCGGTCAGGGCACATGCCCAGGTTGTGGGCCCGATCCCCAGTGGGGGGCATGCAGGAGGTAGCCAATCGATGTTCTCGCTCATCAATGTTTTCATCTCTCCCTCTCCCTTCCTCTCTCTCTAAAAATCAATAAAGAAAAAAAAGTTTTTTAAAAGAAAAAACATTTATGAGGTCAATGACAGGACTAGGGTTCAAACCCAGGGCCTTTGGCTCCAAAGCTTGCTTTCCTATACCTTAGCAATCAAGCAGATCAAAATTAGTGCAAGTGTATGGTCAAGGCAGTGCCATCTGCTTCATTTCCACCCGAACCCTGATTATGGTTATTCTGATAGCGAACGGTTTCCCCACAACGAGGACTCACACACGCAGCTCCTCTGCAGGGGATGCTTACTCTGAGTAATGTGTGAGCCCTGCAGCTTGAAAAACCGGTACAATTTTGACTCATCATCCCCATTGTGAAGCTTTCTAGATCTAATCTCATCTGTATTACAAAATGTTATTATTTCCTCTCCCCTTACATTCAAAATTCCAGCCCAACTGCAACCGGTTGGAAACCTTTTTGCATATTTTTATTTATTTTTTTAACAATTTGGGTTTTTGTTTTTTTTATTGATTTTAGAGAGAGATAGAAACATTAATGAGGGAGAACATGTATTGGTTGCATCCTGCATGCCCCCCACTGGGGATCGGACCCACAACCTGGGCATGTGCCCTGACCAGGAATCAAACCGGTGATCTCTTGGTGCATGGGTTGATGCTCAAACACTAAGCCACACCGGCTGGGCATTTTTTGCATATTTTTAATGCTAGTATATAATTCAGTAAATTTTGTCTCTCTCCCGACATATTTCAAGGACAGTACCTACCTTTTTCTTTTATATCTATTTCTGTGCCTATCATAATATTACGTACAAACTTCGATAATTAGAGGCTCAGAAGGTCCAAACTTGCCCATGGGTACACAGACTGACTGATAGGATGTGGCTGCGGGGTCATCTTCAGTAAACTCCACCCCAGCATTGCAAAGCCTCAGCACAGAGAGCAGAAAGGCGATACCGCGAGACGTCACTCCACCCTGATGAAGTTTACACAAGGTCGGTATCCCCAGACAAATAAAAGTTTCTGTCTATTTCTCTTGAACTCTGAATGCATCCTAGTGATGAGGTTATGTTCTTTTGTTTTTATTTTTCCCAGAAACAAAACCGAGATGTGGTCCTGACAAGCTGTATTTGATGACAGCATAAATAATGCATTATATATAAAATCTTAGGCCTGGTTGGGCAGAGGCCAAAAATTAAAAGAATTTGAAATAATAACCCTAAAATCAGGTCACTGTAATTGTGATCAATAAAAATCTTATTCTATATAAAATATAATAGAACCATTCCCGTATTCTAAAGTTCTTAAAACTCTAATTAATGCAACATTTTCTGTATTAAAATCAACAAAATATTTATTCTAAATAAAAACACGGTACAGTCCAGCCAGTGTGGCTCGGTGAATTGAGTGTTGTCCCATGGACTTAGGGGTCCTGGTTCAATTCCTGGTTGGGGCACATGCCTGGGTTACAGGCTCGATCCTCAGTGGGGGCCTGCTGGAGGCAGCCGATTGATATTTCCCTCTCACATCAATATTTCTATCTCTCTCTCCTTTCCTCTCTCTCTAAAAGAATCAGTAAAAACATTTTAAGAATGGTACATATTTTAAGCTTTGTTTTGTTCTACAGTTAATCAAAATTTATGAATATTTTTAACTAAAAGGAAAAACTTCCATGACATATTTATATGTATTGTTTTTATATATTCAATTATACTGTTCAGATATTTCAGCGTAATATACATAATGGTCATCATTTATTATTAGAGTATATTCTAATAGTAAAAATAATAACCAAGAGCATTCAAATAGTAATATTTTGATTAATGGATGATAAGAAATGTTTAGATAATAAAGAAAAGTCATCCAGTGGCATGAAATATAGATATTAAGTGTCAATTCTGAATTTATTTTTAATCCTGTCCCTCTTATTTGAAAAATTTTAAATCAATCAAAATAGAGACCCAAATGTTATTAAATAGGTCTCATAATGTTGCAATTATTCTTTTTCTAAAAAAAATTTTTAAACCTATTGCTGAACAAATTAATTAAATAGATCAAATAGTAAGCCTCACTCAGAACTCATTTTAATCTACTCAAATGGCCTTAACTTCTGTTCTAAGCTGTAACAATATGATTATCTTCATGAGACTTTATTTTGAGCTCATTACTTTTGGTAAAGATTTAAAAGGTGAATGTACTTTTGGCAAACAACCTATTCTACTTCTGTGGAGAACTGTCGAGAAGTCAGAGCTGTGAACAAAGAAACCCTGACTTTTCCTTCCAGTTCCCTTACTGACTCACCCCATGATGTGCAAAAGTCATCTGATCATTCTATGACGCAGTTTATTCCTATAAAACAGAGTAGGAAGAGGCAAATGAATGAAATAGGATTGAAAGAAGTGATCAAAATCAGCATTAACCACTACATAAAAGGATATGCAATATGAAATACTATAAAAAGACATCATTATGATCATCTCAGAGCAAGACTATTATGTTTTGGTATTACCACTAACTTTTTTTTTTGGTACGTGCCCCTATTGTGAATCGAACCTGGGACTCTCTGGTCCTCGGGCCAACGCTCCAACCACTGAGCCAAACCTGCCAGGGCACCACTAACTTTTAGTAAACCCAAATATACAGAAAGAAAGGGAAATTCTGAAGATTAGCAGAGTTCCCTAGTAAAGAAATGTAAATGTCCAACAGCCCTAAGCATCTAGCTTATCTTTCTAAATAATTTCAAAACTGTTAACTACTGTGAAATGTCTCTGAGGCCACAGTCACCTCATAGCATAAAAAGATGGACATGTGTTGTCCTCATTTCTAAATCTGAGGTTGGTTATCCAAAAAAAAGAACAGCCCTTGGCTCAAGGGGCACCTCTTCCCGGAAAGCTCCCAACCTCCCCCACGGCCCATGAAGGTGGCATCCTTGCTTTGTCCCTAAGTGTCCTGCACAGCCTTCTCGTACAGAAGCATCCTCACTGTGAAGACGGCTTTACTGGTCTGTATCTCACACCAGATGGGCATTTCTTGAGAGCAGAGACTGGATGGTCTTTATCAGTGTGGTGCATTCCACTTTATCTCCAGCCTGCTACTTAGGAAAAGCCCTCAAAGTGATGTTTGACTGAATGAATGAATGTTATAAACAGGAGTCACTTCTCAGGAAATAACAGACCAGTGAATGTGTTATAATGGCCAATTTATTTATTTTTTAATTTTTTTTCTTTATTGATTTTAGAGAAAGAGGAAGGGAGAGGGAGAGAGAGAGAGAAACATCGATGAGAGAGAACATTGATTGGCCGCCTCCTATATGCCCCCCACTGGGGACTAACTCACAACCTGGGTGTGTGCCCTTACTGGGAACCGAACCGGTGACCTCTTGGTACATGGGTCGACTTTCAACCATTGAGCCACACCGGCCAGGCTATAATGGCCAATTTAAAATATAAACACTAATATCCTATTTATTTCAAACGTACACCCTAATAATGAAAAGCACCCAATCATTTCAATTTAAGGTTTGATTTATGCAATTTTATAAATCAAAGGTAACAAGAATTACTCAAAGGATTCCTCTGGCTAAAATAAAATAGAAAAGCTATGCAGTATAATTCAAATAAGATTTATGGTTTTTGATTGAATGAGTTCACTGAAGAAAAAAGCTGGAAAATCAGAGAGGTATAAAAGTGGAACCCTACTTTACAGAGAAAACTCTGCTAAGACTTTGGCGTGTTTGCTTTCGGTGCTTTTCTCACATGTATAATTTTGTAAATAAAATTGAGACCCTGCTATTTGGTATCTAGCTTCTTTCACAAACATCGATATAATCAAGAGCAGTTCCCGGGATCATTATCGGGTCTTTGAAAACGTTCCTTTGACTAGCCATGCGGTCGCCCTGGGTCCGGCTCTGTCCTATCTATTCCGCGGTTCTTCTCTCTGCCGTTTGGAAAGCAGGCATCGGGGAAAAGAAAACCACTACCCACTTTAAAAGCCTCCCCCGGGAGAACCTCAGAACTCCTTGGATGCAGAGAAGGACGTCTTTATGAAGTACTAGCAAGAGCTCTGGAGGCTTTGGGGTCTAGTCCTGTGTACTGTGTGCCTTCTGGGCTGTGGGTTTCTTGTCAACAAAACAGAGAAACACTATGACCTTAACTACTGTGAGCATCAAATGAAATGAAGCAAACAAATGTCTTCTGTAGCCTCCAAAATACTGTTTGAATTAAA